TCATTATTTGATTCGATAGGGGACAATTGAACATGTGCTGACTACTAGATTCAAACAATGTTTTCAGAATGTGCGGTTAGGCGCATTTCGTACTGTACTTTAATGTCTTACATTGCGTCACAAAATACGAGTTATGTGACATAGTTTATCTTAGGTCGTATGATACAAAAATTGTTACTAGAGGCATCTGCTGCTATTTTAAATACGAATGACCAGTTCTGTAGATAGTTACGACACTGACTCTTTATTAGTTCAAGGCACAGCAACAACTAATACTACTGCCCATTTCAAAATAAAAGGCGGATGGGTTTTTTTTGAATGACTTTTGATAGGAACAAGACAGAGAGCTGCGATTTTCGCTGTTGGAAAGAGGCCTATCCAGAGCATCGATTCATATAAAGTTGTTGAGATTTATTTCATAAATAAATAGTGATCTATGGTTGTCTTGAAAGACTGGGCTAGTGCTCTATGAAGATAGAACAAATTTTAAACTTTGAGGAGTGGATTAGAAACAGTAGATGACGAGCTACAAAACTATAGATAAGACTTGATTCAAAGCTTTACTGTTTTGGGAGTTCTAGGTATAATATTCGACAATTCTAGTCCACTTTGCCAGCAATTTCTGCAAAAAAGACTCATTTTTTGAATTTTTTCGTTTTTTCCTGGAAAAATCAGGCCTGTTTTTAAGGCATTTCTTTGTTCAATTATTGCAAAAGATTTCAAAAGTCCAAGTTAAAAGTCATTGCATTATATGGTTCGATGCGTTTTTATCTGCTCTTTTCGACAGTGAAAACAGCAGCTCTCTATCTTGTTCCTATCAAAAGTTACTCAGAAAATACTTACCCGCCTTTTATTTTGAAACGGGCAGTAGTAACCAATTGATTAAAGAATGAAATACCATTTCCTATAGCAGTGTAATGCAAAATTTTAAACAGTTGAAATTTATGTCCTAAAAGCAAAAATTATCTAATTATACGCATCCCAACGAAAACGAAGAGGATGTTATTCTCTAGTTTTTTTTCCATTTTTGATGGCTTACAGCGTTTTTAAAGGTTAACCAGGTATTTTGATTGAATGAACACTAGTGTTCCACCAGGGTATTATGATGTAGATTTTAAGCTAATTCAATAAAGAGGCATTTCATAGGTAAAGCAACTTTTAATTCAAAAACCATTCATCAACCAACTTAAGGAATTTATATAATGATTACTATTCTTTTATGATACTCTTAGGTGCCCAGATAAATTTTAAAGTATTGTTCTGATACTCACAGTCATCTTATCCTAGAATTAGTAGGGCTCAGCAGGGATTCTGAAGATTCCACTAGATAGAACCGGTTCGTTAGATCAGCTAAGAAACATCTGATGAAATCTTTTCAATTAAAATGAGGAGTTGTTTTTCTTTACATAAAATTATGTGTTGTAGCACAACAAGAAAAAAACAGGTGAACAAACTGTGGTTGAATGATTCTAACATATTTCTATCACCCTAGGAAATAGTAACTCCTGGAAAAGTAAAATTTTTCGGGTTTATAGATTTACCTTCTGAATAGCATTGTAACATTGAACTTGATATAACATTATGTCATCAAGTTTGTTTTTCCTTGAAACTTAAAGTAGGCAACAAAAGTTTAAAACTTTTCATCGATGGTCTTTTTTTACTTTGTAAGAGGCTTTGATTTTAATTTGAATTGTAATCAGGCATGAAATAATGTCAGTTAATTGGTACTCATTTAGCTTCTTCAGCAGTATTTGATTTTTTTTCCAAGTCAGATTAATCACATCAGTCTACTGTTATACAAATACGGATGAAAATGTATGAATGACTTTTTTCGTCTTGTCCTTAGTTTCTATTGCCTATGACACAAGAATCTCATTATTTTGCTGCCGATATCTGCTTCCAGCGATTTATCATACTCTTATCCTTATCCTTGTATATTTACATAAAAATATGTTTATTTATATATATTTGTGGTCCTCACGCATATGCCCTTATATCTATTCTCTCACTTGTATATTCTTACACCTATTGCTTTATGCTTGTAGCCTTGCACCTTTATATTGATACTTGCATCCTTATGTCTATGCAACTATCTACACTGTTATGAAGGAACATTTTTGAGTATGTTTCCTAATACATTTTAAAGTATTCTATCTCATAAGAATGTTCATAAACATTACCTATGATAATGTCTTATAAGCTCTCTTTTAACTTTTGGAATATCATAGAATCAAACATCTTCTATGTAAAAATGCTACCTCTAAGAGACGTGTCATTTTGCAGTTCTATGAGAGCTGAAGACATAGTTAAAATCTGCATTAGCGAATCGTAAGGATTGAACACAATTCGTGTGAAACAGTTTTTTTATTACCATGAAGTATGTGAAACATGTATTCCTAGACACCTAACCTTGTTGATACCCGTTCGCTAAAGAGGCTATATGCTTTTTCCAACTAGTACTCCCAAATGGGAACAAACAAAACAAGGCATACATGTATTCAGTTACAACATATCGCCTTCGTTCGTTTTCTTCGATTAACTTTCTCATAGAAATATCCTAAGAAAAGTGCGGAGGTGCAATAATAGGGAACACTAATTGTTTCATGTCTGACTTCATCTCAGACACATATATTCGTACATTATTTTAAAACAATTTAAAGACAAATTCTACCAATTATGTTTCGTTAGAGATAGTGAGTTTAAACTTTCATTCGAAAGCATTAAATTAATAAAGAGTCTTAATACAGCTAAAGTGGCACACTTATTCATGGTGGTAGAACAGGAACTTCATATCAGGTTTTATTCAATTTCTGGGATCCTATAACGAATAATTTCATTAGCCGCTCAAATCTTACATAAATCAAAAATGATACGCCTAATAGATATACTATTCTCAAAACGACGAAGGTGGATTTCCCGGTCTTTGTACGCTGGGAAGAAACTAGGAAGAATATAGTTATTCATATTATTCACGAAGGTGCTTATAAGGCTGAATATTTCTAGGTCCTTCTTTAGTTACAAAAAGTTCTATGTTTGTCGCCTTTTATATTTCCGCTGTGTTACCTTAAATTGCTACTACAAGACTAAATCAAGAGTGCAATTTTCTTATTCTTCTTTGATTAGACACTACGAGGTTGGTCACTTCAAAATATTCATCGGAGCTAACCACCGGCAGTGAACAGTTTTGTCGCATAGGTGACTGTTCAGCATCTGCCTACTACTATCAAGCTCTTCGTTTAAACGTCTCTGTTGCTGGGAACTATTCTTTTGATTCGAAGAGCAACATGAATACCACTGGTTATTTGTATAAGAACAGTTTCGTTTATCTCGCTCCGTCTCAAAATTTGATATCAATCGATAATGACAGCGCCGGCTACCAGCAATTCCCTTTGTACAGTTGGCTTGACAAAGCAACAACATACTATTTGGTCGTAACCACATATGATCCAAATGTCACAGGACAATTTGCAATAGACGCTACTGGTGTTGTAGCTCTCACTTTTTCAGCGATGGATACATTAAGTAAGAACTCTATATACTTCAGGAGAGTTTTTTAATGGAACACAATACTCATCAAAAGATAGGTGTATAAAGATATGCAGAGTACTGAATGTAGCAACGTAGAGTAATTCTTTTCTAGCGGTCGACGTTAAACTTCAAGACAGAGGAGAACTAAACCAGATTTTCTTTTTTTTACAAAAAACATATTTTGCATAACAAGTATTCCAACCGGTAAATACTACTTTGGTCGAAAATAAAAATGTCGACTGATTCAAGTATTGGAACGATATTAGTTATAGATCTACCTATGAGAAAAAATTCAATACGTTATCTCAATTTAATAAAAATTTTATTTGTTAAAAAATTTGCAATGAAAATGTGTTTAAAAAATGAAATTAACTTGAATGAACAATTAAAATTTCGTCTTAAATGTATGTCCTATCTATTTCTTTTTTGTTCCAACAACTAATGACAAGTCAGAAAATAGATCTAGCAAGCTGATGACACCACTATTATATTGGGTATAAAGAGTATTGATGCAATTTTGTATGAAAGTTGTTTCATGGATTTTGTTATTCTGATGCTTCTGCTAACCACTCGATGCTAACTAGTTGAAATTTTTTTTTTCTGTTTGCACTAATTTTATAAACTTCCAAATGTTAGGATGGTTGCGAAGAATGCAGCTGTTTGTCCTACTGTGATAAACTGGAATAACAAAACAAAACAGTAGTCATTGAAACGAAGTCTATTTGAAGATAACCTTCACATACATTATTCGTTCTTGAGTCAGCTGTATATGCATTCCACATATCAAGATCTCATAACCAATTTTTTTCAAAGTAACTTAATTATGGTTCTATTGACGAGTTTGCTAAAATCTAAGTAACTTTACGAACTTCTTCAAATGCACACAAGACAGTTGCTTGCGGCATCATTGTAAGAGGGTGTGGGTGTGTGTGACTGTGAGTTTTCTCTTCATCGAAGCTGACACTCACGCTCACACCAACCCACACCCACATCTTCATACGTGACTCGTGCAATAATAAAAAATGTTTACCATCATTAGTCAGTTTATAACGGTCCGGAATAGTAAATAAACATGATTGAGGAAGAGTAGAGAGAATTTTTCACTGAACTTTGCCGAAGGTTTGATCTAAATATAAAATTTAAAAAAAATTCACTTATACCTTTTTCCATAATCAGCCACAGACTTCTCGATTTGGTAAGAAATGTAACAACACCAGCAGCACTAAGTGCTGATTTTGCCATTTCCTCTTCATATATAATACCAATAGTTGTTAGTTCATTTTAAACGCGTTCCTTCATTGTTTGAGGAAAACATGTCGTTCGGATTAAATCTAAATTTGATTCATGATCATGATCGCATTTACCTCTACACAAATATACATCATGTTCATCTGTATGAATACTACTTGAGCATCCACTAACAATACTTTCCTTGACGTGATGAAACATCAATTTTCCTTTGCATCAAAAGTTGAATCCGTAGAAGTCGATATAACACTACTTTGTCAAGATTTTACCACTGAATATTTGAATAGGTGACGTAATCAACCAATAATAATAATTATGATATAAGTATAATTACTAATCGTTTGTTACTGTCAACATCGTTTTAGTCATTGACTGTTTATGCTTAAATTTTCACTCTTAGTAATTTTAAATCTAACAATTATCTTCATAGTGTATGCTTCAAAGTTTGAATATTTTCGATGTTTTTACATTTTGAGAACTTTACTTTTAACAATTTTCCTTTGGAACATTCTTCTATTTCGATATTTTTAACTGATGACACTACTATCTTTATGTTCCAGTAATTTCCGTGGCGTTGTTATTCACAGATTCAGTATTTGATTAACCTTCAAATACAGGTTGAATACGACAGATAGTGTTACGTTACGTCATCCGTTACATGCTCAGAATCATTCCAGCCTTTTCTATGATGACAATGTGAATTCAATGTTTTTTTTTCACCTCAAGACATGAACTCAACTCGAAACCGAAAGACAGTTTTATATAGCAGAGTTCTCAATTAAAAAATCGCTCCTTCTCTTACCTGGTTCTAGTAATGTTTTCCGATGCTTGTTATATTTCGCTGAGTTCCAGAAGCAAGCCTAATCTGATGGGAAGTGGTTGCCGATATTAACATCGTCTTCCGTTCACATCTCTTCTCTCTTTGCTCTTCACTTTATTCTGCCATAGGTTCATTATTTTCTGATCTTTCTCTATTGTTTATTCCCGTGCTCATCCACAATTCTTACTCACTCCCATATAACCATCTATCAAACATGAGGTGGTGACATTCTGGAAATATCAGGCATCACGATGTACATAATAACCGAGAATGACGGCGATGTATCTATTCTGTTCATTGTTAAACTATTCGAATAATAAGACGCAATGTCTATAGTGTTGAAAAAAAAACTCATAATTCTAACTACCCAAAATCATCTTTATATATATACATATTCGTATAGGTATGAACGAATATTTGTAAAACTACTCTAAAAAAGTATCTCCAGCAGGTCTTTTTTGTTTCTTCCAAAGAAAGCTTGTTGAGCCTTTCGTTTCGACAAAATAGCTCAAAACTTTTTTCTTACATTAGCCACCATCCACGAAACAAAGTTCTACGATTTGTACGTTCGTACGGTGATTATCATATTTCTGAAAGCATCCCTTCATTGCAATCAATTCGCTTTTTTCCAACTTAGCTTTATAAAATTTTATATACAGGATTCTCGCCATTTCGTATTGATTTCCATAAACTGATACTTAGAGGTCGAGTTAAGCGTACGATTTTTCCTCTTTCTTTTCTGATTAGACATGCCAAGTCTCATCACTTCACCATATTCATCAGTACTGACTAACGCAAGTGAACAGTTTTGTCGTGTGGATGACTGTTCAGATTCAGCTTACTATTATCAAGCGTTTCGTTTGAAAATCTCTATTACCGGATACTATTCTTTTAAATCGATCAGTAACATAGACACTTATGGTTATATGTACAACAACAGTTTCGTTCCTCCAGATCCATCACAACATTTATTAGCAAGCAATAATGATGATGCTGGCAATCAGCAATTTCATTTATACATAAAGCTTGATACTACATCAACATACTTTTTGGTTGTAACAACATTTAACCGAAATGTAACAGGACCATTTTCAATAAACGTAACTGGTTTGGGATCAGTCGCATTTTCTCCAATGAATGCATCAGGTAAGAACCCTATTCATTCCAGAACACTTCTTTGATGAAACAAAATCGTCATCAGAAGATAGATGCGTCAA